CTCATTACATGAGTCCTCCAGTGTGAATATTGTTGTGTTCGTTGAGTTGTTGTGACTGTTCATTTTAAGTCTCAAGGCCTCTTCATGCAGGAGCTAGCTGTACAGAGGTACAAGCAGGTGCAGTGACACTTACTGTTGATTTCTAAATTATGGGAGGATCAGAACATGAACACTGCGGGTTCTTAAATTACAGTGAGAACAAGAAGGGTAAGGCTGATTGGAAGCAGACAGCATTGCACGGAAAGTTCGCTTTTGCTCTTCTAATTAATGTATGCTATTCATTAAAATCTGGCTAATACACTGTAAAGTAGGCAGTGTAATCATTTGACACATCTGTTGAGAACTTGGCACTATCTCATCCTTAATGTTTTGCTATTTAAATATGTTTTGTGCATGTTTTGCTTTTCTTTTGAGTTGAACCTTAGCTCACACTACAAAATAGTTTATAAGTAAGATAAAAGAATAAGCCTGCTATACATACAGTACGTAAAATCTTTCACTAAGTACAAATAGAATTTAAAAGTGAAATTACTGAGGCAGCAAACACAGTTGATCACATTACACATAAGCAGTGCATTAAAGGCTAATGTTCTGTGAAAATATAGGAGTCAGAAGTACGCTTTGCTTGCCCAGTGCTACTCTGGAAAGTAGCAGTGATTTTATTTTTTTATTAAATGCAGCATATCACAGAAAAAAACCCTACACCTCTCTGCCTTCTTCAAGGGGGCCCTTAACGCTTCCATTCTGAAGAAAAGACACAAATGAAATCCTGTCTGAACTAGTTTAACCCTGTAAGCTGCACTGAGAGATAACTCAGTGCGCGGTGCCTAGAGCGACAGCGATCTGGGAAAGCCCTCTGGGGACACTTGGGAGGGAAGAGGAACAGTCACAGCAGTACCTCCCAGTGTCCTTGGGTTGTGAAAGGGCTGGGAATCTCTTGCTTCCTGCCCTTGAAATGAAATGGATTCTGCACGTCCTCGGGCCCGGATACATCTGAGCGGGATCACCAGAGGGAAGAAAGCTGAATGAGTTTTAGCACCTGACGCGGTCTCACACAACTCCTTGGACTCCTAGTTATTTCTGTGGAGTATCAAGCTTTGTAACATTAACAACAAGCATTCTTTAAAATAAAATGAACAATACCAGACTTTGCATGATTTGTGTCAGTGCTGACACAAGGCTTCTGGCAGTACGGAGGAAATGAACTTTTGCCATCCCAGAAATAAAGCATTTTTTTTCCCCATTAACGAAATGGTGAAGTGTGGGCTTAGAGCAGAGGCAGAGCAGTTCTGTTAAGCATCACACCTCCTGCTAAGCATGAGACATTGTGGTAGATGAGCTTTGCAAAGCCAGTTCCCTGTGGCTCCAGTTCTGTCCTCCCTGTTCCAGGAACAGCTTGCCCAAGCAGGCTGTGGATGCCCCATCCCTGCAGGCATCCAAGGCCAGGCTGGATGTGGCTCTGGGCAGCCTGGTCTGCTGGTTGGCGACCTGCACGCAGCGGGAGGTTGGAACGAGTTGAGCATTGTGCTCCTTTGCAACCCAGGCCATTCTGCGATTCATCTCGTGTACCGGTATCTCCCTCTGCAGGCCGAAGGGGAGGGATGGGAAGCGGGGTGCGTACCGAACTGCGTGCTGCAGGGAAAGGCTGCCGTCAGAGCCTCTGCTCCGGCTGTAGCAGTCTGGGCAAAGGAGCGCACAGCAGCGGCACTCGGGCTGCCCGCCGCGGATGCTGCTTAGCTCTGTGCACTGAGCCAGCTGGAGAGGACGCTATTTGAGGTGCTCGGTCATCACCAGGATTTTGGAGTGTGTGTTTTCCTCGTTTCTAAAAACAGTTCTGCCTGGAAAGCCAAAAGCTTCTACAGCAGCTGCAGAAATCTGGCTCGCTGCATGGGCAGTCATTCTGTGCTACCTCATGCACTCTTCCAGGTGGCATTAAGGCAGTAATACAGAACTTTGCCTATGATTTCATACCGCTGTTGGTGGTCTAAGCTGGTTCCTAAAAGTGCCTTTGAGGGAAAAGAGACACACAAATGAAATGAAGCGGTGAAATTGTATAGGCTGCTCCGGAAGTAATGCCTCCCATTTATTTCCATGGAAACTCCAGCAGGTGCAAAGAGCACAATAACACTATTTGATAGAGCAGATTTCAGTAAAAACAGTTTATTGGTGCAGTCACTACCATTAGCTATGCAATTTTGCCAGCAAAGAACAAGAGCCTGCATGACACACTGGTGAAAAATCTGCATGGCCACCCAGAATGTGGCTTTTCTTTCATGTCAGTGTTGCCACTGCTGAAATGCACCACCCTCCAAATCACTGTGCTCCCATCCACTGTTAGGTCTCCATAAACATTCACAGGAGTAGATGAATGTCCGCGGGTGCCATTTTTTCCTCATGGACAAAATCAATTCTGCTCTTTTGCTTTGTATGCACTTCTGTGTCAGATGCCATTCTGTCAGACTGCTCCTCTGCAGCCATCTGTTGAAGGGCAACAGCACGTAACAGATTATAGATGGGAAGGTTCAGCCTCTTCTGCCATCCCATCACAGATCTGCCTCTAACATCATGGGCCAATGCCATAAAATAGGCATTATTTTTGGAGCAGTCCTCAAACTGAATACAGAATACAGTATTTGTTTGGGTTAGTAACTTGCACAGTTGCTGTTGGTCCTTTATGTTCATTTTCATTTTGGTTCTGCAGTGAGATCTTTGTTTTAGAATAGTCACAACTCATCAGTCTTGTTTCAGGATCTCACTGCTGTTTTAAGATTCCTGCTTCCCAGTCTCAGTTTGTTATTAATTTGGAATTTTTTTCTCCCTAAGGAAATAATCCTTAATGTTTCAGCTGAATACAATTTCCTCTGCAGGGAGGTGATATCACAGAACATCTTTAACTGCTTTTACTGTGTTATAAATTTTCCGGAGCAGTAACAACTGATATAAAAATGGTGTAACAAAGTCAAAGTCTGCCTCTCATCATGAAGTCCCTTATGATGGTATAGTGCAGAAATGTCCAGTGGAACGCAGCTACTGAGCACTGTAAGAGCTAAGATTTTTACTTTTCAAAGTTGGGAAGGAAGAGTTGCAACTCATGCTGAGATCTCTGTCATGCTGAGTTGCAGCTGCCTGGTGCTTTTGAAGGCTCTCTTTGCTGTAGAGGTTCGATGTACATTTCATAACAACAAGGGTTTACTTCATTGCCCCGGGCCAAGGGCTATGTTAGTTTTGTGCTGGAGGAAGAACCAGCCTGCTGTGCTTCCAAAAGCAGCCTAACTCTGAAGTAAGGAGCTTCGTAGAGGTTATTTTATCTTTCTGCCACCGCAGGGAAGCGTAGTATCTTAGAGTACACTGCTGTAAATAGTATTTCAGGACAACCAAACAAGGAATATATCGTGATGAAAGGATGGAGGAATGGAGGCACTGCCTGCTGTGGGAATTGGAGAATGGTGGTTTTCAGTGCACTTTCTCTCGAAGCCCGCTTTAGGTTGCGTGCTGCTTCAGCAACATGGCACTCCTATGTTTAACCATGCTCAAAATGCTACTGAAAAGTAAACAAAGCAAAACCAAACAAGTATCTTTTTCTGACATATCTGGTACTAAGGCTGCTTGTGCAAGATTGAATAAAATCAAAGTGGCTGATAGGTCAGTTAGAGACTTTGACATGTGGCTCTTAGTCAGGATGTGACCTGTTGTTTGACATCATCGTTATTAGTCTAATCTGACCATCATTCAGCCACAATATGCATTAGAATCAGCTAACGGACTAGAAGTACTCACAGTCTAACCACGTGCTTTGGGGACTAACCGTGCTTTAAGCCGTGCAGTCTAACTGTGCCGTGCCTTACAGGCTGTTTGCCATCAAGTGGCTTAGATAAGTTAATGTTAGAAGGCTGTAAGCTGTAAAGTTGATTCCTCTTGAAAAAATAGCTGAAGGGCTGTTTCTGTTTCAGCTCAATGAGGTGACAGAGCATGAAGAGGAAGTGGAGAGATTAAAGAGTGTTGGAAAGTGCGAGCAGCAGATGGCCTGGTGCAGGGGCTCCCTGCCGCAATACGAGGGGCAGTGCGGCGATGCGCCCACGGAGTGCTGGACCCCTGCCCTGCCACCATCATTGGCGCTGAAGGAGGTGGCAGGGCAGGGTGAGCAGCGGCACAGCAGCAGGAAGGATGTGGCCGAGGAGCAGAGCTGAGCAGCGCGCAGGAGGAGATGCCGCGAGCTTTGCCTTGGGGTCTGGGAGTCCTTCTCAGGGCCCTTCAGCCCATCCCCATGTCCCCCCCAGTAAAATTAAACTGTGTCACCGTTTCCACTGGGACAGAGTTGAGTTTTCCTTCTTGGCATCTGGTGCTCTCTTTTGGCTTCAGGAGAAACACAGAGTGTTGATAACACGGCAGTGTTTCTAGCTGTTGCTGAGCAGTGCTGCACTGAGCTGCAGGCGTTTCAGCTTCTCAGCCCGTCGTGGTGTCCTGCTGGAGAGGGGCTGATGGGGCACCAGGAGCTGGGAGGGCACAGAACGGGGACAGCTGGTGGCAACTTAGGCATGGGCTCCGTTGCTCGTGCAGGACAGAGAGCTTCATTGTACGTGCTCACAGCCTTTTATAGCCCCGCAACAGCCCCTTGGCTTCGGGTGTATTTACATCTGGCAGCAACGTCTTCATTGCAAGCTCTGTTTTGCCAGAGTGAGAGATGGAAATAAGAATTCAGGGGAGCAAAGATCCCTGGATTTGTTTTAGTATCGTGATGCTGGTGTGTGGCCAACCGTACCGTGGGGCGCATCAGGCCCGGCACTGCCCAGGAAAGGACTGTCCCGCTCTGCTCTGCCGCGCCGCTGCAGCCCGTGAGATGTCCGACGCCGCTTCCTGAAGCGGCCGCGTTGTCCTTGGGATCTGTGCCCAGCGCTGCCCACAGCCTGCCCTGCTGCGCTGTGAGAAGGCAAGTCCCAGCCTGGGCTCAGATGGCTGCAGGCCCTCGTTGCTCTCGGTTCCCGAGGCTTCCAAGGTAACGCTTTGGCACCCCCCGCTTCGCCAGGTGCCGCTCCCTGCATCCCCTTGTCTTGCTGATGCACTGCTGCTCTGGCAGTCCCTGTGCCTTCCCTGAGTGGCGCCTTGTGGAACACAGAAATGACACGCGGGTTTGGTACGCGCTAAGGGAAGAGGAGGAGCGGAAGCTGCTCCCAGCTGGGCGTCACAGCAACCCCCATCCCGACCCACCTCGGTTCCACCGGTGCCCCTGTGTAATGGGGTTGAGGCTCTGGGACTCGAGGGAGAGGTGCGTGAGGATGCGCTGGGAGGCCCACCCATGAGGTTTCCTAGGGCGAGGCGGCTGACTGATTTCTCCACAGAGAATTCAGGAATAAATACTTCTATCCCTGGATGGCTGCAGTCCTGGTTGGTAAATGGAAATGGATGATTGTGTCCATACTTACCTATTGAAAGCAAACACCAGTGGAGCCACCCCCAATAAAAAATGGATAAAATGATGGTGTTAGAGGAGGTGGGGAATGAAGAAAGGGAAGAAGAGGAAGATGTCTATGAAACTGTACCATAGGAAAGAATTGAGAAGATTTGAGAACCTGAAGCACTCAGGCAGAGAGGACCCAGGGGAGGAAGAGATCAGAGTCGGATAATAGGGCATAAAAGATGTCGCGCTGTCTCTGCAGGGCATTGCCACTGTGAATAAAGTCTGCCGGTATCACAGGTACCGTCCTGACAAATTATTTGGGTACTCCAGTTGTTGGGACGCACACTGGGGAGAACATTGGAAAGGCAAAAGCCCGGAGCTTGAACTCAGCTCGGCTGAAGAGAGGGCAGAAGAGAGAAAACCCTTTTTTAACACGTATCTTAACGGTCAAAGGAGAGAATCTCCCTCCTGTACCTTGTGCGGCAGGAACGTGACCGCTGAGGGTAAGGAAAATGTTCTCGGCGCCTTCTTTGCAGCGGTCCGTGTCAGGCAGAGCCGTTTTCCTCGGCGTTCTCTACGCCCTGACCGACCGGCCCTGCCGCTCGCGTTCCGTCACGAGGGAGCCGGACTCAGCCTGCCGGCCGCACTGTTCGCTTTTCCTCCGAACGCGCTTCCAGCGGCCGCCGTCGGACAGAAGGGCGGAGCGCCCGCAGGAGCGCCGAGCGAAGCAGAGCCGCGGCCTGCGCAGGAGGCGGGGCGGGGCGGGCGCAGTGAGCATCACCGCCCGCCTGACGTCATCGCGGCGCGCCGGCGGCGTTTCCGGCCGGCCGCTCGGGGCCGCTCGGGGCCGCTCGGGGCCGCTCGGGGCCGCTCGGGGCCGCTCGGGGCCGCTCGGGGCCGCTCGGGGCCGCTCGGGGCCGCTCGGGGCCGCTCGGGGCCGCTCGGGGCCGCTCGGGGCCGCTCGGGGCCGCTCGGGGCCGCTCGGGGCCCATGGCCGCGCGTGCCGCGCTGCGCCAGACCGCCCGCCTGGCCTCCTCAGGCGCCCTGCTGCAGGTACGGGCCGCCGCGTCCCCCCCCGTCCCCTGCCGCTTCTCGCCCTCCTCGGCGGCGCCCTGGCGGCCGGCCCGGTCCCCCGGCGGCGCTTCCCGCCCCGCTTCCTCCGCAGGTGCTGTTCCGGGCGGCCGCCTTCGGGCTGAACGCCCTGACGCTGCGCCGCCTCTCCAGGGAGCTCGTCGGCGTCGTCGGCGTGAGGTGATCGCCGTTCCGCCTTCCGGCCGCCTCGCGTGGCCGCGTTCGGTTCCGCGCGGCGGGACGGGTGAACGGCGGGCCCCGCGGAGGCGGCGAGCGAGGGACCGATCGCGCGTTTCCCCTCCCGTCTCCTGCAGGCTGACTCTGCTCTATTCCACGGCCGTCTTCCTGGCCAGGGAGGCGTTCCGCAGGGCCTGCTTGAGCGGCGGCGCGGAGCGGAGCTGGGCCGCGACCATCAACCTGCTGTGGCTGACGTGAGAGCTCCCCGGCCGGTCTTTGCCTTCTCGCTCTTGTCCGAGAGCTCGCGCGGGGAAGGCGTTCGCGTCGCCGGTTCTACTCTGAGAGCGGCGCCGTTTCAAGCGCGAGCGGCCTTGTGGGAGCGATACGAGGCGCGTTGTGGCTGCGAGTCGAACGTCGGGCGGCTCGGGGATGTGAGAGCGGGGGCTCGGATTCGCCCCGCCGCGGGGCCGTGAAACCTGCCGCGCTCCGGCCGAGGGCGCGGGTCCACCGCGTACGCCGCTCGGAAGTGTACTTGAATTGATCTTCGGTTTTTAAGGTGAACTCAACTGCTTTATTTACTGGATGTGTATTCGTTTCAAGAGGGTAGGGAAAGATGAGGGGAAAGAGGAGAAGAGATGCTTTGTGTGAAACGGAGATGCTTCCAGAAGTAGATGTTTATCTTCAGGTGTTGCTCTGACGGCCTTTGAAGTCCTGCTTACAAATACGCAGGTTTATTCACTTCTCTGTTGCGAGAAAGGAAAACAAGGTGTTTGGAAAATAATGTGGAACTGCTGTTGTCTGGGGAGGTTCATGTTCAGGTTTAGAGGAAGCAAACTCCAACTCTCATGAGCTGGATCGCGTTGCTGAGGAGCGGTTGCAAAGCTTGTGACGCCGTGAGGCTGGCCTGGTGTTAACTCTGATTGCCATTTCTCTCTGCATTTTGGGTGTCGGTCTGCACGGGAGAGCTCTGCCAGCGTGGAGATGACCAACGTAGTGCCTAGAGCTCAAGGTCCCAAATGCTGTGAATGTGACAGCGCGCCCTTTCCCTGACGTGCCAGCTGAGCCCTGGCTCCTGTGGGCCGTGGGGGATGGTGTGTTGCTGTCCATTCCAAGAACAAGAAGTAGATCTGGCACACAGAGGTAGGCCGGTGTTTGAGAAGTGCTCTGTAAAATCACGTTCTTGTTTTCTGCTCTGTGCTCTGCTAGTCTCAGCTGTGCCCGGAGCTCTGTACGCAACGGAATCCAGAGAGGACTCGAGGATGCAGTCATGCTGCTGTCATACGTGGGGTGGGAACGGGCTGCCCTGCAAGTGTTGCGTGGGGCAGCTCCTGGTGTGGACAGGAGGACTGACGGTAAAAGAGAGCTGTGTCTGTCTCTGTTGGGTCGTACAGAGTAGGGGTAGTCTCGTTGCAGTGGGTGCCGTTTGTTAGGCAGTGTAAAAGGTGCATTTCTTCAGACGTGCTTACAGGAGGCTCTGTGCCATCAATGACAGGGGGAGCGTGTGTGGTTGTGTAAGTGCCTTTCTTTCGCAGCACTGAATGCCCTTCAGGAAACGGAATAGAGAGGACAGGGTTAGTTTGCAATCTGCGTGCTCGGAAGTTGCGGGGAGCTCAGATCAGAGCTCCTGCTCTTCTCAGCGAGCCCTTGCTCACAGACATCCTCCTCCTGGTGAGTCCAGCTGCAGCTCCGGCTGTAGGGCTTGTCAGTGCAGGGTGGCCTCGTCTGTGCCCACAGCACCACGCTCCAGCAGGGGAGAAGCACTCGGTGATGCAACCAGGCAGGGCTCAATAACAGGATGGTTTTATCGCATGGTACCGCTTGTGCTGAAGTGATGAAACTGTGCTTCTGAACTAGACTTGACTTGAATTTAAAAAGTGTTTTATCCCAAGTGCTGTCTGTATATTTAAATCTAAGTTAGAGATCAAACAGTTCTGCAGTTGTTATTTAGAAGGGATATCGCAGTATTGACAGTGCGGTTTAAATGGTGGCATTCATTTGTAGTAAGGTTGAAGAGCTCCCACGTCTGTCTTTCAGACCTCAAAGATGGACAGTAATGTAATGGGAATCCTTGCTTCGTACGGCAGGTTTCCTCTGCAGTTCTCTGCAATAAAATGATGCTTTTAGGACAACAGTTGCTTTAGTAACGGGAGCAGACTTTGTTGTCTGGATGCTCGTCCCCTTGTCCGGGTGATTCATGCACCTTGTGAGCAGTTCAGCCTGCAGCAGGAATCTGAGCTGTGATCTCTATGTGATTGCTGCTAGAGCAGCAGGGACCACACTGGAGGCTTTGTGGTGTAGATGTTGGTTTTATTTAGTATTGTTCTTACTTGAGCATTTCACCAGTTGGACTCGTGTCTTTGTGTCCCGTGATAGATGACTTTTTGAAGAAGTTTAAGCGATGAATGTTATTGGAAGCCCCATGGAAAATTGGCAGTAGTGTATCAGGCATATATTTGTTGTCCATATGGTCCACAGCATTTCTCATTCCCAGACGTTTTTCCCGTCCTTCATGCCTGCTTCTGCAGCTCATCAGTTCCTTTCTGCCTTGCAGAGGCTTCTTGTGATGCTCAGTTGGCTTTTTGCAAAAAACAGAGAGGATGTTCAGAAAAACAGGCAATTGTTAGGGCTGTGGAATCCACTGCTTGCGATGGAGGGGTGAACTGATGAGCAGATATGGGTTGGTCCATTTGACACACGATGGAAAGAAAAGCAGCTGGTGCTTGCTGGCAGTGGCCGAAAGCATGTGGCAGCGGCAGGGAGCGCTGCACGTGCCGTTCCTCTCAGGGCAATGCTGATCTCCTGGGTGTTTTTCCATTTCCCGCAGAGAGAAGACAGGCACTGGCGCTGAAGGAGGTGGCAGCGCAGGGTGAGGAGCGGCACAGCAGCGGGGAAGGATGTGGCCGAGGAGCAGAGCTGAGCAGCGGGCAGGAGGAGATGCCGCGAGCTTTGCAGGGCACTCAGCTGTCTGCCCGGGAGGAGCGCCACCTCCTCCACGCGCTGCGGAGCCTGGAGAAGAGCTGCCTCAAGTCTCCTCGTGGTGGACGTGGCCTCCTTTCCTGCAGGATCTTGAGTATCTGAAGGGCCAGCGAGGAGACGGATGGAGTGGGGTCTCGCTGCGCTCTCCGAAGGCCTGAGAGAAAGAGCGGCTCAATGGCAGCCGTGTACCCGCAGGGCGCCCAGCTCTTCCCTCCGGCGGGAGGGAGCAGGGGACAGGCACGTCGCCTGCCAGCTGCCCCAGCATCCCACTGCCTGGCTCACCTTCGTAGAGGCGCTCTCTCTCGACCTGCTGCTGATCCGTCATGTGCTGCACTAAGAGCCCTAGGAACACACGGCCCCGTCAGCGACCCCGGCTGCTCCGCGGGTGCAGCTGGAGGGCCGGGGACAGGGGAAGCTCAGTCTCGTGGCTCACCGATGAACCGCACGGCCTCCCGTTGCAGGGGCTCCTGCGGGCTCTGTAGGTACAGCAGGCTCTGGCTCACATAGTCCTGCGCTGCTGCTTTCATCCCCCTCTTGTCCAGCTGGAGAAGGAAGAGCGCGGGGTCAGCGCAGGGTGGTCGCGACCCTGCCCTGGGGTGTGGGAACGTGCGTACCAGGCACTCGGCGATCTGCCGGAACTGCGCCGTCTGCACCAGGTGCTCCAGCCGCCTCCAGCGCAGGAACCGTGCGGCACCGAGGAGGGCTTTCTGGGAGGCCTGCCAAGCAGCTGAGATGGCACCGCAGCCCGAGCAGCAGCACAGCCCGCGTCCCCCGCAGCTCCTCCATAGGGAGGATGCAGCAGCGGGGGCTGATGCTGCCGTGGGCTGCAGTGCTCGTGGAGTTTGGGGGGCACCGCGGGAGCAGCATCGCCCTCCCCCAAATGAACGCAATCCCCACCTTGGCCACGCTCTCTTCCTCGTCGTGCAGGTGGAGATACAGCAGGACCAGGTTCCTGCGCACCTCCTTCTGCATCTTCCTCCTCTCTCGGTCCTCCACAAAGTTCAGCGTTTCCAGGAAGAGGTCCATGGAGAGCTGCCGCACAGTGGTGGACTCCTGCAGAGGAGGAAGGAAGGAAGGACAGACGGATGTCTGTGTCAGCAGCTCCACGTCCATGGCAAGCAGGGCCATTGCCACCAATGAAGTGGGGGCAGAATCTCTGAGCTGAGAGGCGGCGGGCAGATGTTGACGATGGCCCCAGAACTGCTCCAGAGCGTGCAAGCTCTGCCCTGCAGAAGGTCCACCCAGGGGCACGCAGCGCCTGGAACTGCAGACCAGCCAGGAAGTCCCCTGGTGTGCTGTGACACGGGAGGGCGGGGGCAGCAGGCATGGGCACACATCCCTAGTGTGCTGGACTCCCTAGCATCCTTACATCATTAAAGAGCGCTGGGAGCTTGCTGGCCAGCTCCAGAGCCATGAAGCTGCTCTCGGCCACATCCGGGAGCTGCAACAGGGTGCTGAGTATCGGCAGGGCTATGGCACGGCTGTCGCTGTCTGCATCCTGCAGCTGCTCCATGATGCACGGCATGAAGATGATCATTGGCCTTGCCTGCGGGAAAAGCACCCCTTCCTTTAGGTACAGCTGGAAGCACAGTGGGGTCAAAAGCACTCCAGTGCCAGCCCCGAGGCTAGCAGGCAGTGATGGGATGGGCTTTGAGGCCCCCCTGCTCACCGTGTCCTGCCTCCTGCTGAGCTGCAGGATGCCCCTGAGCACCAGCTGCCGCATGCTCATGCTCTGGCTCTGCAGATACATGGTGAAGACTTTGAGGATGCCGTGCAGCTCTGTGGTGAGGTCCATGCACTCCAGCACCTGCAACACAGGTGGCTCTTAGTGCTGGATCTAACACTCCGCTTGGGGAAAGGCAGCAGGGCACAGCCAAACAGCCTCAAGTTGGCTCTCCTGCAGCTGTTGCTCACCTCAATGAGGAAGACCATGGCCACCACCTCCCAGGAGTAGAAGCTGGTGCTGAGCAGCTCAACCAGCTGGTGGCAGATGGCGTCACGCAGAGCACCGGGCAGCTCCCTCACAGCCCTGGCAGGGATAAGAAGGCACCATGAGCCCCGAGCCGGGGGGACGCAGCTGTGGCTGTGCAGCCCTCTTGCCAGTGCCGCAGGGGCCACAGGCTGTGGTGCTGTGGCAGCACTTTGTCCGAGCACTGGGGACCCCTGGCAGGCCGGGGAAGGAGTTCTCACCTGGCCACCACCTGCACGCCCTGGAGGTGGGTGGCAGAGCTGAGAAGCGCGTCCCAGCCCCCCTGCTCCTGGATGGCCTCCATCTGCCTCTGGAGGCCCTCGCTGCAGAGCAGCACCTTCATGGCCTGCACCGTGGACCTGCAGGTGGAGAAGGGTGCGAGTCGCATCGGGAGCCCCAGCACCGGGTCCTGGTGCAGTGGGGGGCGGGGGGATGCAGCACCTGATGGGAGTGACCGGGTTCTGCTGGTGCGCCTCCCAGAAGATCTCCACCTCCTGCTGTGTCAGCTTGGTGGTGAAGGACACTTGCAGGAGGAGGGCCAGGAAGAGCTTTGGGAAGAAGGCCCGGGCCTCCTTCAGGACCAGAGGCAGTTGGAGTATCTCCAGTAGGGTCCTTGCAGCCTGCAGAAACCACCCAGATACGGTTCTTGCCCCGTCCCCCAGGTTTCCTTTCTGTGCCATCCCTACACGTGTAGGCAAGGGGGACCCCCAGAGCCCCCGGCAGGTCTATGGAGGGATGCCAGGGCAGGAAGGGGGCGGATAGGGGAGAGGAACGGGGACTCAGGCTCAGCTGGGTGAGCGAGGAACTCACAGCCAGGGCAAGGACACGTGGCCTGTCCTTGATGAATGGTGACGCGTGGTGCTCAGAATGGTTTATCAGCACTTGGAGCAGCTCCTGCAGCACCTTCTCCATGGCTGGGGGCTTTGAGAGCATTTCCTTCCACATGGTGACAGCGGCCCTGCAGGTCCCCAGGGCTGTCAGCGTGGCTGCTCTCGCCTGGCTGACAGCCATATGGTGGCGAGAGGAGGGGAGAGGAGCCCTGAGGGCCGTGGGCCCCCTACCTGGTGCAGGTGGGGGAGCAGACCAGCAGGCTGCTGACCGTCTGCTTGGGGAATTTGCTGGCCAGCACGAGCAGGGCCCTGCCCAGGCTCTTGCGAGCTGCCCTGTCTGTGATGGACGGCAGGCTGTTGTAGATGGTCTTCATGATCTTCCGCACCTGAAGGGGGACACACATGAGAATGGGACGGCACTGGAGCAGGGCTCTGCTGCCAGTGGGCACAGCACGGTGCCAGTGCCAGGGATGGGGCAGAGCCCCGAGGGCTGGAGCTGTGGCAGCAGCAGGTTCCCACCTGCCGTGGAGGAAAGCAAGTCTTTGCAGCGAGCACATCCACCATGTGGGCAGCCAGCTCGGTGCTGTGGAGGCTTGGCGCTGTCATGCTCTCGATGGTACAAAGTAATACGTTGACCCTTTCAGGGTACGCCAGGTATTTCAGAAGGACCTGTGGGAAGAAGGAGAGAAGGGATGACTCTTCCCCTGTGTGGCTGCTGGGTCGTGTCAGTGCCTCAGGAGAGCTGGGAGCAGGGGCTGGGCTGGGAGACACCAAGGATAGGGAGTGTGAGGGCTGTACGGGCACCAGGGCTGCTCGAGGAAAGCGCCTGCACTCTTTCTGACACTGCAGGCCTGGGTTCTCCTGTGGGCACAGGGTTTGCTCTTTGTACCTGAAAGATCGTAATGGCTCTGCTGTCATGGGAAGCCTCCTGGTGGAGCAAAGCTAGCTGGCTCTCCCAGAGCTGTGGCACCTTGGGCCTCTGCTGCTTCAGCGACCATCCTGGAGGGGAGCGCACACAATGTGAGTGAGGGGCCTGGGCACCTGGAGGTCGGAGGGACCTAGCCCAATGCAACTCCTCTCACTTGGTATGGGGATGAGGGTGAAAAGCTGATGGACAGCCTTCATCGCCTCGTCTCTCGTCCTCTCATCCGTGGAGGTGCAGGAGAGGATGAGGTGCCCGGCCAGCTTCCCTAGCATAGGGAAACGTTGGTTCTCCTCGCAGTTGTGCTGGGAGGCGGCGGTTTCCATGAAGCAGGTGCATGGCTGGGGAGAGAGGCAGCGGGGGCGCACGGCTGAGCGGGGCAGTGGGGCCCAGCCCAGGCTGTGCGCAAGCCTGGAGGCAGGCGAGACAGGTGGGCTCCAGCTGGGGAGCCAGGACGCAGTCCCCAGAGCTGTGCGCACCAGGGCACCTACCTTGGGCGAGGAGCAGGAGTTGGTGAAGGCGAGCAGCCTGCCAATGCACGCCACGGCCCTCTCCTCCACGGTGGCCTGCTGGCTCATAGTGAAGGGCAGCAGGAGCTGTGGAGAGAAAAGCAGCCGGTTGGCCCCCGGCACGGGGCGCTCGTCCTTCCGCTCGCTCCCCAGCTGCAGTGGGGCTGGGTGTTTGCGTCCCTGTCCTGCTGCGGCCCTGCCGCCTTCCTGCTGCTCCCCACCCATCCCTCTGACCCCACAAGGGCTGGCCTCGGGCCAGCACCCCCTGCCCGCAGCAGGTTGTGGGGGGACCTCACGTGGATCCCCCTTCACGGCCTGAAACCATCCCCGCAAATCCCAGCCTTGCCACACAGCCAGACCTCCAAGATGTTCTGCAGCTCATTGAGGACAGTGGAACCGGTGCTGCCCAACAGCCCCTCCAGCAGGCGGTGCAGGGCTTCCATGATCTGCAAGGAGGACAGGGGTCAGGGCGGCCATCCCTGCTGCGTCCTGCTGGCAGCAGAGCGGCATCCCGGGCGGTTGGTGCCCAGGAAGCGTTCCCGGGGCTCAGGCCGTGCGCACCTCCCAGTCTGTGTCATCCTCACGGCCTGGCAGGTGGAGGACGCTGCTGATGCAGGTGCGCAGGAGACTCTTGTTCTCTTCCTCTGGAAGCAGCTGCGCTTTGCTGCAAGGGGAGAGAGGGCAGAGGCGTGATGCTCTGCTCACGGCCCCTGGCTGGGACCAGTGCCACCACGTTGGCCAAAGCTGGGCTGGGGCGGTACCTCATGGCGGCGATGGCGCTGATGGCCTCCTGCCGCAGCTCCACGTCCGGGCACACAGCGGGCTCCTCCTGCATCATCTCCTGAGGGCACAGCAGGATGGGAAGGGATGGGACGGTGCAGCAGGCCCTGCCTGGTGTGTGGAGCCCGGGCCCCCCGTCCCGGCTCCGGGGCTCCCCAGCGACCCCGCAGTGGGCAGCGCTGTGCCCACCGCCCGGCCCTGCGGCGCTCCCCTTACCTCAATGCACTGCGCCACCTCCGACGCGCAGGCACACAGGTGATGCTGAGCTTGGCTGTCCTTGCGGGCGGCTGTGCAGGTGGTGCGGACGGAGGCCAGGAAGCTCAGCTTCTGTGCGTATTCCTGGGACAGGGAGGGGAATTAGAGGTGCCGGCATCAGGGGACCCCGGCACCCTCAGGGCACGGCCGGGCAGGGGCCGCCAGGGAAGCACAGAGTGCCCGCTACCTGGGGTCTGCGCGTGCAGCCGGCGCGGATGCAGCTCAGGGGATCCTCCTGCTGCGGTGACACGACGGAGGCAGGATCCTCAGCTGAGCCCGATGGCCCCTGCAGGGGCTGCACCTCGCACACCTCGTAGGGCCCCTGCTGGGCCGTGGGGTTGCGGGGTGCTCTCGGTATCTCTGGCCATGCCTCTTGGGATTGGCTCGGGGGTGTCTGCTCCATCTTGAAGCTCAAGAGGGAACAGCGGCAAATGCGCCTGCTGCTCCAGCTCTGCCTTCAGGGGGACGAGGCCCATTGTGAGGTGGCAGTGATATCACCCCATTCTGCCCGGCTCCACCCAGAACCCCTCCTCTTGCCCCGCAGCCTGGGGCTGTTCCTGGCAGTTTTGGTGTGGAAGGAGCCCTGGACGCCACTGTGTGCGTTTGCCCCAGCTGCGGCTTTGGGGTCTGGGAGTCCTTCTCAGGGCCCTTCAGCCCATCCCCACGTCCCCCCCAGTAAAATTAAACTGTGTCACCGTTTCCACTGGGACAGAGTTGAGTTTTCCTTCTTGGCATCTGGTGCTCTCTTTTGGCTTCAGGAGAAACACAGAGTGTTGATAACACGGCAGTGTTTCTAGCTGTTGCTGAGCAGTGCTGCACTGAGCTGCAGGCGTTTCAGCTTCTCAGCCCGTCGTGGTGTCCTGCTGGAGAGGGGCTGATGGGGCACCAGGAGCTGGGAGGGCACAGAACGGGGACAGCTGGTGGCAACTTAGGCATGGGCTCCGTTGCTCGTGCAGGACAGAGAGCTTCATTGTACGTGCTCACAGCCTTTTATAGCCCCGCAACAGCCCCTTGGCTTCGGGTGTATTTACATCTGGCAGCAACGTCTTCATTGCAAGCTCTGTTTTGCCAGAGTGAGAGATGGAAATAAGAATTCAGGGGAGCAAAGATCCCTGGATTTGTTTTAGTATCGTGATGCTGGTGTGTGGCCAACCGTACTGTGGGGCGCATCAGGCCCGGCACTGCCCAGGAAAGGACTGTCCCGCTCTGCTCTGCCGCGCCGCTGCAGCCCGTGAGATGTCCGACGCCGCTTCCTGAAGCGGCCGCGTTGTCCTTGGGATCTGTGCCCAGCGCTGCCCACAGCCTGCCCTGCTGCGCTGTGAGAAGGCAAGTCCCAGCCTGGGCTCAGATGGCTGCAGGCCCTCGTTGCTCTCGGTTCCCGAGGCTTCCAAGGTAACGCTTTGGCACCCCCCGCTTCGCCAGGTGCCGCTCCCTGCATCCCCTTGTCTTGCTGATGCACTGCTGCTCTGGCAGTCCCTGTGCCTTCCCTGAGTGGCGCCTTGTGGAAAACAGAAATGACACGCGGGTTTGGTACGCGCTAAGGGAAGAGGAGGAGCGGAAGCTGCTCCCAGCTGGGCGTCACAGCAACCCCCATCCCGACCCACCTCGATTCCACCGGTGCCCCTGTGTAATGGGGTTGAGGCTCTGGGACTCGAGGGAGAGGTGCGTGAGGATGCGCTGGGAGGCCCACCCATGAGGTTTCCTAGGGCGAGGCGGCTGACTGATTTCTCCACAGAGAATTCAGGAATAAATACTTCTATCCCTGGATGGCTGCAGTCCTGGTTGGTAAATGGAAATGGATGATTGTGTCCATACTTACCTATTGAAAGCAAACACCAGTGGAGCCACCCCCAATAAAAAATGGATAAAATGATGGTGTTAGAGGAGGTGGGGAATGAAGAAAGGGAAGAAGAGGAAGATGTCTATGAAACTGTACCATAGGAAAGAATTGAGAAGATTTGAGAACCTGAAGCACTCAGGCAAAGAGGACCCAGGGGAGGAAGAGATCAGAGTCGGATAATAGGGCATAAAAGATGTCGCGCTGTCTCTGCAGGGCATTGCCACTGTGAATAAAGTCTGCCGGTATCACAGGTACCGTCCTGACAAATTATTTGGGTACTCCAGTTGTTGGGACGCACACTGGGGAGAACATTGGAAAGGCAAAAGCCCGGAGCTTGAACTCAGCTCGGCTGAAGAGAGGGCAGAAGAGAGAAAACCCTTTTTTAACACGTATCTTAACGGTCAAAGGAGAGAATCTCCCTCCTGTACCTTGTGCGGCAGGAACGTGACCGCTGAGGGTAAGGAAAATGTTCTCGGCGCCTTCTTTGCAGCGGTCCGTGTCAGGCAGAGCCGTTTTCCTCGGCGTTCTCTACGCCCTGACCGACCGGCCCTGCCGCTCGCGTTCCGTCACGAGGGAGCCGGACTCAGCCTGCCGGCCGCACTGTTCGCTTTTCCTCCGAACGCGCTTCCAGCGGCCGCCGTCGGACAGAAGGGCGGAGCGCCCGCAGGAGCGCCGAGCGAAGCAGAGCCGCGGCCTGCGCAGGAGGCGGGGCGGGGCGGGCGCAGTGAGCATCACCGCCCGCCTGACGTCATCGCGGCGCGCCGGCGGCGTTTCCGGCCGGCCGCTCGGGGCCGCTCGGGGCCGCTCGGGGCCGCTCGGGGCCGCTCGGGGCCGCTCGGGGCCGCTCGGGGCCGCTCGGGGCCGCTCGGGGCCGCTCGGGGCCGCTCGGGGCCGCTCGGGGCCGCTCGGGGCCGCTCGGGGCCGCTCGGGGCCGCTCGGGGCCGCTCGGGGCCGCTCGGGGCCGCTCGGGGCCGCTCGGGGCCGCTCGGGGCCGCTCGGGGCCGCTCGGGGCCGCTCGGGGCCCATGGCCGCGCGTGCCGCGCTGCGCCAGACCGCCCGCCTGGCCTCCTCAGGCGCCCTGCTGCAGGTACGGGCCGCCGCGTCCCCCCCCGTCCCCTGCCGCTTCTCGCCCTCCTCGGCGGCGCCCTGGCGGCCGGCCCGGTCCCCCGGCGGCGCTTCCCGCCCCGCTTCCTCCGCAGGTGCTGTTCCGGGCGGCCGCCTTCGGGCTGAACGCCCTGACGCTGCGCCGCCTCTCCAGGGAGCTCGTCGGCGTCGTCGGCGTGAGGTGATCGCCGTTCCGCCTTCCGGCCGCCTCGCGTGGCCGCGTTCGGTTCCGCGCGGCGGGACGGGTGAACGGCGGGCCCCGCGGAGGCGGCGAGCGAGGGACCGATCGCGCGTTTCCCCTCCCGTCTCCTGCAGGCTGACTCTGCTCTATTCCACGGCCGTCTTCCTGGCCAGGGAGGCGTTCCGCAGGGCCTGCTTGAGCGGCGGCGCGGAGCGGAGCTGGGCCGCGACCATCAACCTGCTGTGGCTGACGTGAGAGCTCCCCGGCCGGTCTTTGCCTTCTCGCTCTTGTCCGAGAGCTCGCGCGGGGAAGGCGTTCGCGTCGCCGGTTCTACTCTGAGAGCGGCGCCGTTTCAAGCGCGAGCGGCCTTGTGGGAGCGATGCGAGGCGCGTTGTGGCTGCGAGTCGAACGTCGGGCGGCTCGGGGATGTGAGAGCGGGGGCTCGGATTCGCCCCGCCGCGGGGCCGTGAAACCTGCCGCGCTCCGGCCGAGGGCGCGGGTCCCGAAGCGGCATCGGCAGAAGGCAGTGAGCGTCCGCACCGCGTGCCCCGCTCGGCTTTGCTGGCGGCGGCCGCTGCCGGAAAGAGCCTCACGCTGCGTTGCTGCTGGCAGCCGGCACGGCTCGGTCGCGGGCGTGTTTTCTTCTGCTGACTGCGCTGTCGTTGCGTGGAAGGCTCGGCACAGCGCTTGGAGTGGTGGCATCAAAACCTGTGGTTGCACGTTGCTGTTACAGGTTTTACACCACAGCTCGGAGCAGCGCGTGGCAACTCGTAGCTACGTGTTTTACACCCAAGGTTACAGTTGCAATAGGAATGAATTCATCGTATCACTTCAAAACTAAGGAAAGTAGACCAGCCCGTGAAACTGTAATCAGATTTTCTCCCGTTCTTTTTTCTGCCTGAGAAAACCTGACTGTTGTTACGTTGACTTTTTAGAGTCCCTCTTGGTGTTTTTTGGTCTGTTTCCTTGGGCTTCGTCTGGCTGCACTTCCTTGAAGTTCCTGATCCGTCGGCGGTTCCTCATTATGGGGCTGCTGTTGTGGCGTTTGGCCTTTCTGCGGTTGTTGAGCTTCTAGGAGAACCGTTCTGGGTTTTAGCCCAGGCTCACTTGTTTGTAAGACTTAAGGTTAGTAAGGAAGCTACGTGCATGGGGCTGTGTGTGTGTGTGTGTGTGTGTGTGTGTGTGTGTGTGTGTGTGTGTTAGAGGGAGAGGGAGAGAGAGAAATCTTTTCCTGTTGAAAACAGTGATGTAAAGAACGGATTCCTGAACGGGCTTTGTATGTGTTCAGGAGTGTTTTAAAAAGTAAATAAAGTTATGGGCTGCTTAATGATGCATGACTTACTTGTAGCAGATATGTTACAACACTCAGTTTGCTCGTGCTCAAGAAAGGAAATTAATTTATTTAGAAGTGATCACCTTATGGTCATTAAATACGTAATCATGAGTGTTAATCAGAGGGAGGCACAGATGGCTTCCCCAGTTGTGCTTTCCACTGCCAGAGTGAGATGGTGAAGGGCAACAGCTGGGATCACGACTGTGTGAAGCCAGATGTACTGCTGTGTGTGTCGCACGCAGGGGGCTGGGGCAGTGCCACGGGGGAATTGTGTACCATGAGATGCGAGGATGTGCAGAGAGACTGCAGTCTAAGTTGGGCTGTGCGTATGAAACTGAAGCGCTTTGTGTTCCTGTAGGTGCTTAAGCTGGCAAAAAGGAACGTTCTCTGTTCTCTCTTTCTTGAAGGTAATTGCTGAAAGCCTTTCCGTAGTGTCAAAATGCTTTCTGACGGTTGTTCTAGTCATCCTTTATCCACAGTGGGGCCTCTACATTTTTTCCTTGGCTCAGGTAAGCCTCCTGTCTTCTTTCTCGACATCAGTTCTTGCTCTGAAGGGTCACTTGCTGCTGCCTTTGACGTGTAGCCTGCTGAAGAGCACTGGGGAGGTGAGGGAAGGTTCCTTTGAGGATAGGATTTAAACGTTGAGAGCTGTGGTGATAGCTGTTACTGACTTGATGTTTTGACCCCAGTCAGTTTAATGGAGGTGCAAGGGAGCACCTTTGTTGCATGCAGAAAGGCAGGTTTTGCAAATGAGGCTGTGATGCTGTATGTGCTTTGACCAAATAGTTGTTTTTAAATTGGACTCAACAGGCTCTTTCTAAAAATACTGAATGGGAGGTGAGGAAGGTTGGCACAGGACTGTGATGCTGATCTGCTGATTAGAGAAATTTAAATCAGCAGCGTTCTGTGTGGGTGGAGGGGAGTTACAGTAATGCCTTCTGCCTGATTGAAATTTGACAGGAGTGAGAACTTCTTACTGCCTTCAGTTCCCACTGACTTGGGGAAGCTAGCATGTGACTCTATGATTGTAAGTTGGTTTTGTTCTGCTATTTATTGGTTTTTAATTCTTTCCTTCCCCGTCTTTTCAGCTTTTATACACCAGTGTTCTGGTAATGTGCTACGTGGTTTATTTTGCCAAGTTCTTGGGATCTCCTGAAGCAGCAAAGAAGTCCTTTCCAATCCCAACAATGAAAGCTCTGTTACCGAACTTGATGGAAGCTCAGGTGGGTCGCACAGTTTGTTCTCAAGTCTTTGAGGAGAGAACTTTTGCAAACTGTGTGGAGGCGCTGGAGTGAAGTGAGATTCTGAGGTTATGAAGTATGGCTGGTCAGGAAGGACGGTTGCATGAAATTCCATTTATGGTTGGTGCGTTCAAATCCTTATCAGAAGACCACGAGGAACCTGGAGCTGTCTGTTTCTGGTCCTCGTTGGCTGTCTTCTCTTCCTCGTTGGCTGTCTTGTCTTGCTTTGCGCAACCCATTAATTGGAGCTGGAACATTTGCAGTGTTCAAGGGAGTGAGCAGGTACCAGGTGGAAGGCAGGAGAGAATCCAGGGCCATCTTATAGTGCTGGTACTTCAGCTTTTCCTCCAGCAAGACATGGTGGTGCACAGCGTCCTCCAGATACTCAGATCTCTGATGTCCTCTGGAAAGGAGATGGGGCGAAGAAGGAACTGAAAAGGCACGGTGAGGAAGAAGGCATTGTGAGGGTGAGATTGAGGGATGGAGAATAGAAAGGCAGTTCTGGCTTGTGAGACTTGCGGGAAGGCTTTGAAGAGCACTGAAAGATGAATTTTACCGTGAGGGTTCTGAGTGTTCCATCGGTGCGCTAGGTAACTTTTCCCCATCTCATCCTGTCGAGTGCTGTGTGCTGTAGGAAGCTGTTGCAGTTCCTCGGTCTGTCTGCAGCGATGGTGATTGTGCGCAAGGGAGAAAGTCAGCCAGGTGGGAGTGACGTTGTTTGTTGGGTGTTGCAGCCTTTCCTTAACTGGAAGGAAGCGCGGCTGACTTGGAGCTTCTTCAAGCAATCCTTCCTGAAGCAGATTTTGACAGAGGGTGAGGCTGGATGTGTGGGGGTGCTGGAAAGGCAAGTGAATGCTGGGCACCAGGTGCACACGGAGCCTGGGAAGGCTGGGGGGGGGGCGGTGTTCAAGAGCGGCACCAGCGGGTGCTGCCGAGCCAGAGGCAGTGGTTGAAGGCGTATGGAGCATGAGCACTGTCCTGTGAGACGTGTCTCTCGAATGCTGCCTGTGAGCAGTGCCTGAGCACACCTGGGGGAGGTGTAGGGGCTTGTCCTGACTTCTGTATTCTGAACTTGCAGGTGAGCGATACGTGATGACTTTTCTGAACGTGATCGATTTTGGCGATCAGGGTGAGTGTGGTGATGCTGTGGGACAGCGGCAGAATTTTCTACTTGTTGTCTGCTTCTGAAAATATTGGAAACCACTTGAAAATAACGTGACAGTGTGGGAGGATTCAGTGGCATTGGGACTTCGAGGTGCATTTCAGAGAATGATGGACAAACGGATATGAAAAAAAACCAAAGCCCACACCAACAAACCAACAACCAAAACCAAAGCAGCTTATTTGAGGGTTGTGCATGTAAAGAATGTTTTGCTTTGGATCAGAACTGTGCAGTTGTGTCTGTTTTGCTGTGCATCTTGTTTCCATTTTAAAAAACTGGAAGAGGAAGGAATCTGATGCGCTGCAGTTCCTTTTCTTCCTTTGGTCCCGTTTTCTTCCTGTGGAGCCTGTGCTGGCTGTTCCAGCAGGAGCACTGCTGTTTGTAGCATTGCATCTCCCACTGAACGTGTTCCATGAGACTGCTGTGTCGTTACAGAGTGATGCACGGCAGCAGCAGTTCAGGGGGCAGCACCACAGGTCTCACCTGGGCAGGAGAACAGGCCGTAATTGCTGGCCCGCTGCTGGAAGTTTCTTGGCTGTTTTGAATTCCCGTTCCCTGCTGGCAGTGGAACGTTCTCCCATAAGCACAGGCTTTATGCTCTCGCTGCCGGAAGGTTCATCCACTGCTGGCCCTCCCAGGGAACAAATAAGCTGCCTCCTACTGGACGGTCTTTATAAAATGGACGAGTGCAGAAATGCTTGTGCTCTGCAAACGTTACGAGAGTTTGAATGGGGATGGTGTGAAATCAGTCAGAAACGCACCGTGTTGTTTCTCTGTGAAGTTGCACAGCATTTGTCCATGTGCTGAATCCCTCGTGATTTGCTGTTTGTGTTCTGGTAATACAGCCAGATGTCTTAGCAGACTTGGAGCAATGCTTGGTGTCTTCCTGAGTCTGGAAGTGCTGGTAAAACGTTACCTGGGGTTCCTTGTTCACTTCAATGGGAGCAAAAAGCAAGAAACCAACAGTGCCTCAAGCTAACAATGCCCATCTTTCTCTTCCTCCCTGTCAGTGAAAGCTTTACTCTCCTGTTGCCATTCAGAGACCAGATTCTCCTTCATCTGGCTCTGTTCTCTTCCCTGCAGTAAGCACTGAAGGGGCTGTCTGGGGGTGTTTGGGGCTGTCACTGGATGAAGTTCTGCTGGTTTTCTCTTTGTTTGTCAGAAATGTGGGATAGGAATTTGTGCTGCTGTTAGTCCTGGAATTGTGGCAGAAAAAAGTGACAGCTTGTTGGTGTCTTTTGTTTGTAAAGGTGTGTATGATACTGTGAACAATCTGGGTTCGCTGGTGGCCAGGTTCATCTTTTTGCCTATTGAAGAGAGCTTTTATGTCTTTTTCGCTCAAGTGTTGGAAAGAGGGAAGAACGTAAAGGATCAGAAGCAGGTATGCTTGTCACTCTTGGTTCCACATGCAATGCTTGCCTTCTGTTGGAACTGAATTGTATCAGGAATGGGACTGGCGTGCATTGAGACTGTTGAAATGGAAAGCAATTTGAAGTGGAGAGCGTGCCAAAGGGGTCTGGAGCAAAAAGCAAGCAGGTGAAAAGCTAGCAAAGAAGGAGTTAGGGGCGCAGTAGCATAACACTGCATCATCTGGGAGCTGCAGTTGCTCCTTGTGCTGTGGCAAAACTCGTAGTCCAAAGTGGCAGTGAAGTTGTGACCCTTTGGGTGCTTCAGGCTGTGGCCTTGGGCAAATGCTGTGCTTTCCTTTGCTGTTTGCTGGCTGTTAGCAGGTGCAGCTGCTGTTCTCCCCTTTCCTTAAAGCCTGCAACAGAGCTGTTAATGGCTGATCTTAGTTTAGAGTTCTGTGTGTCACACGGAAGAGAAAAAGAATACATGAGCACAGTTGGAAGCTAGGACCAGATGTGGAGGTGTTTCAGGAGCAAAGAATAGTTCTGATGCTGCCTTGCTTGTTGCCAGTGGAGGTTTTCCCCGTGGAATAGTTGGTGAGAACAGCAGCAGTGCTGATTCTGGTTGGTGTAATTGACTGCTGGCTTTTGTGGTTGTGTTTTTGTTTTCTGCCCAGGATGACGTTGCTCTGGCTGCAGACGTGTTGGAGTTGCTGTTGAAGCTGGTGCTTCTGATCGGCCTGACCATTGCTGTTTTTGGCTATGCCTTTTCTCAGCTGGCTCTGGATATTTATGGAGGTTCGATGCTCAGCTCCGGAACAGGTAAAAAGTTTGAGCTGCAGTTTTTGCTTCTCAGCTCTGTGCTGAGTTCTTGGCTCGGTCAGCTTTCTGCCTGATTTCAGCTCAGCTTAAAAGAAGCTTTCAGCCCCGAGTCCCAGTGTGTGTTTGGAACTGCATTCTGCTGTGCTGTCACCTGGCCTTATTCTGGCAGAATAATTGAAGTCCTTTGTGCTCCTGTAGATGCTTACACTTAAAATATTGCAGCTGTGGCAGTGCTGCAGCTCCCAAGGTTGCCCGTAGGGATGATTGCAGAGGCTGGAATGTTGCTCGGCAGTAGTGTTAACCATATTAGGAGGTTTACAAGGAAGGAGGGATCCAGAAATTGGCTTCTCATGAACTTTGAAGTTACCCGTATCTGTGACCTGTAAAATGTAAATATCTGGTTTTAATCCAGCTATCTAATCTAGCTATGTAACCTAGTGTGTCTAATCCTTAATGTGGTGTTGAACATGTTGAGCAGCTCTGTTGTTTTTTTCGTCTTCCTTTTGTATTCCAAACGGGCGTTTGATTGCTCTGAGCACATTACAGTGTCTGCTGGATCCTTTCTCACAGATCTCTGTGCAGTGAAAGAATTGGTTTGCAGTAGGTAGAGAATCCCATTTAGTGCAGTCATCACTTTGGTGGTGGAGATCTTCTCTTTGACGTTAACAGCTGCTGCTCTCTTGTATTTTGGTTTTGGTTTTGCTTGGCCTTGTGTTTTCTGTTTGTGTTCTTGTCCAGATGTGTCGCCCAGAAGCTCCTCAGAGGCACGTAGAAGCTGCCAGTATCAGCAGTGATGATGTTACAGCTTCTGTCGTCGAGTATAAACCCAGTGTGGTTTTGTAAAAGAAATAATGATCTCTTTACCCTTGTGATGTTGTTGTCTTTGTTTTGTTTTAGGTCCAGACCTTCTGCGGTGCTACTCTTTGTATGTCCTATTTCTTGCTGTCAATGGAGTAACAGAATGTTTCACGTTTGCTCTGATGTGCAAAGAGGAGGTGGACAGGTGAGGAGTATCCCCTGTGCCTTCCTGTAACCATCTGTATGTGATGTGCATGGAGTTAAGCTGTGGATGGGGAGCAAATGTTCTGCTTGGACATTTGCTTGGAAATGCTTTTCAGTTCCTGAGGCACCAGTTTCTTTGGGCAGTCATTTTAAGGACTGTGTTCCTGCCCCTTGAAGCCCAGACTGCCAATTGAGCTGCTGGAGTACAGACCTCAGTGTAGAAGCTTTAGTAACTGTTCAACCCTTTGGGTAAAGAAAAGTGAATTGAGAAGGCTCTTAGCTTTTGGTGGACAGCAAACAGGGAAAGGGATTTAGATGTGGAGTCTTATTTAGTGTACGTGTACTTGAATTGACCTTCAGTTTGTAAGGTGGACTGTTACTGAAAGTTCACTAATATCTGCAGCTGTTAGAGCTTTTAGATGCAGTTTCTATAGAGCACGTTTGGGATGAAGTGAGTCAGGCACGTGAGCTCAGTGCTGTGTCTGCCTTGAGTAGAGCGTTGCACTGCATGGCTTCCTGAGATCTCTCCCAGCCTGGATGTTTTGTCAGCTCTCTGTTTGTTCTGGTGTGTTGGCACTGCAGCCTGATGGCTGCCATCGGACTTGTTTCGCTTCTGCAGCAGTTGTCCATTATAAGGCCATTCCAAATTATTTTGGCTTTGTTTTGTTTTGTTAGGTCATCAATTAAATGACATCTGCTTTTGACAGAAAGAAATCTTTTTATTTTGCTCAGCATAGTTTTTAACCTTGTGGTGATTTCTTTTCTTCATGGCTCTGATCTCAACCTTGCCATCTGTCATAGATGAGAGTAGTTGTCATTCCTGCGTTTCAGCAAGCTAATGGATTTTTTTCTTTTGAAAATGCGTTTAGTAATGAAGCAGTGCAACTGTATGCGTTATATATGTTGTTTCTGTTGTTTCTTCTTCCTAGATACAACTTTGTTATGCTGGCCTTGTCCTTCATGTTCCTGTGCAGCTCTTACTTCTTGACCCGCTGGCGTGGAAGCGTTGGCTTTATCCTTGCCAACTGCTTTAATATGGGTATTCGCATTGCTCACAGCATCCATTATATCTATGGTTACTTCAAGGAAAGCTCCTACAGGCCTTTGACAGGCTTGCTTCCCTCACCATTCTTAATACTGGCTTATGTCATAAGCGGAGGAATTACTGTTTACTCAGAGGTAAGTATCTGCCTCAGGATTTTCCTTTCACTGCGAGGTTTGTCAGCTGGCTTTGTCACCAGAAGGAAAGAAATACTGTTAACAGAAGAGGCTTATAACCATAGCCTGGCAGATTTCCATTCAGGCCTGCGAGGCTGCGCATAGGTCTGTTGAGAATTAAACACAGACACATAATTATATTCATCTCCAGACGTGTGCCTGCCTGCTACGCCTTCTCCAGGTGGCAGGGAACCATGTAGCTAATGAGTAGAACAGTTCTGCTGCCTGCCCATACATCCACGTTCTTAGTGCTTGATAACTGAAGGTGACAGTGCAAAGAAAGGTCATGAAAATTTCTGTTTAAAGAAACAAAAACAGCAACAACAAGCAAAACAAGCGCCAAAACAGAAACATCTCCAAGTGCCTTAACTGCTTGCACTGAGGTTGCAGAGTGGTAATTGCACAGACCAGTTACTGCAGAGGTGGTGGTGTTAGGGAGTGCAAGAGTGTGACAGGTGGACATTCCGTGGTGCCTTAGAAAGGAGAGCTTTATGTTTGGCATGGGAGGTTTGCAGTGGCCTTTTTTCTGAAAGGCAGCTGAGTAGGTTGGGGCAGAATGGCAGACCTGTTGGACAGCATGAGCAGAGTTTTCCTGATAACCATTTGCCGTGGCAAATAACTTCCACATCTATCAGGTATGTGCAGAATGCTCATTTCCTGCCACTTGACTTTCTGTTGTTTGTTGTTTTGTTTTTTAAAGCAAGTGCTGTGACTAGGAAGGATGGTTTGTGGTAGGATGTGTGCATGTGACAGATGTTTCTTGCACCCACTGCCCGTGCTCCCTGTGATGTCGTGGTGGGATGGTCTCAAGAGGCACTGGAGCTCATGCTGTAGTGTAACAGCTGGCCTACCTTGTGCTGAGTGGTTTTCCTTCAATTGCTTGTTTCCTTTGTTTCAGGCACTGTTCTGCTGCGACAAGGGATGGACAGCAAGGCTGATTCACATCAGCATTGGGGCGCTGTGCTTTGCAGCTACCACCATCACCATGTTCTGCACGGAGACCAAGCTGGTTCGCTTTGTCAGAAGCCAGTTTCTCTCCCAGTATATGAAGAAAGGAATGTGAAACGCTCGTGGGCAGAATAGTTCTTGTACATGGTTGCAGTTGCAGAGGGTTGTATTTTTTGCACAGGTCTGCGTGGAGGAAGGTTTCCACATGAGTTTGTTGGAAGTATTGGTAGTGACGGTATAAATGGTTGCTGACTAAGCTAGTCCACACAGATGAAGAGAGCCGAGTAATTTTCTCTTCCTGCATCGTTCTATTTGAGCTTTTCTTCCAACGGCCTTTTTGGTGATGAAGGTCTGTAATGCACCTGATGTAATGCCTGACGTAAACTGATGGCCAGAGTTACTGTGGGGAGCTCCCTTCTTACCGGTAGGGAATCCACATGTGAAGGCGTTGTATGGCTTAACTAAGATGTAACTAAGAATGTCCTTATTGAGCATGGTGGGCTGTTGAAACTGTTAGAGAACAAATATTTTGACATTGAAAAACGAAACTCCGAACCAAAACCTGAAGCAAGGACCAATCACAACGTAACAGCTACCAGAAGAGAACTTAATGCAGTGCAGAAAAACTGTGTGATCAGTGGCCTGAAGTGTAAAGCACTGAGCAGACAGTGCCCAAGGTGGCTGTGTCAGTTTACTTCCTTCCACATCATTCCTGTAATGAGAGCGTTGACCAGCCTGTCAGAAATACTCTGAAGCTTTTATCTGAACAGGAATGCAGTGGGTTTTTGAGCAATGCCTAACAACAGCTGTGACCTACAGTCACATCAAAGCTGAGGTTCCAGAAGGTAGAGTTAAACATGATTGACTTCACTCCTTTTCTGTTCCTATCTGAGATGATCAGTGCGATTATGAGCAGATTTCTCTCCATGGAATGCCTTGCTTTTCTGCAAAGTGGAATGTTCTATGTATGTTGACTAAGATTTCTTTCTGGGTTTGTTTGCTTTTGGATAAAACAATGCTGCCTTCTGTTAAAAGAGATTTGTCACCTGGCTGGCTCCTTTTTGTGTTTGGTGTTAACCTTTGTGTTGATGTTTATTTTTATGTATTGAAGATGCCAACGTTCAGAAGCTATGAAGTAAGAGCGTAGGTTGCAGAATTTTGTTTCCTGAGGGTCCGAGATGTTCTTGCTGGCCTAAGATCTGACTGTGGCAGTTTCAGAGCACACGAGCAGCCCGCTGGAACGACCAGCGTTGCCTTCACACCGTTTGAACGGAGCAGGAAATGCCAAGGATGCTGAGACGCGAACAGCAGCAAGACTGCAGTGCGGTTACGCAGCAAACTCCACAGGTCCTCAGGCAGCTCCCGAAAAATCTTCACTTCCAGTGGCATTGTGGAGTTGATGGCCATAAACAGAGCTCACGGGGCAGAATGCTGTCTGGTGTCGCTGCGGTACTGTTAGAGATGTTTGGAACTGCTAGCAATGTTTTCGTAACTCCTGTGGTTGTCACATTTCCCATCAGTTTGGGATCTCACCAGGTAGATTTAAATGAGAATTTGATGCTTGACGAGTTGTCTGAGAAAAGCCCAAGCGTAACTGTAGCAGGAAAAGGAAGGTCTGCTTTTCAGGTGTTTCCACTGCCTGGCTGGAAGGTGGTAGGGAGAGAGGTGCTGCCTCTTCTGAAGTCGTTCTGAAATTTGCCTCAATAAACTGCCTTGGTTGCTTTTACCTGATGAGGTGTTGTGGTAGATGCTGTTTGAACAGCTGCGAGTAAAGCTGGTGTTTAATGAAGTGTGATGGTCAAACTGTGCAGTGATTGGCAGTATTAGGGAGTGTGTTTATCTTGTTTGCTTTCTAGTACTGTAAGTATTTAGTAAAGAAGTGGGGGGGTGTGCACGTTTTCTGAGAGGAGGAGCAGGTGGAGGCTTTAACTCCTCGTTTAATGGCATGAAAGCTAATAAGACATAAGCTTGGAAGCTTACTGTGGTTTAGCACTTGTAGAGGGTGCTGACTTGCTAACTTGTATAAAGGCCTTTGGTCCCCAGGAGATACCTTGAGCCTGCCCTGGTTTTCTGTCTTCTGAGGAGTGCCTAAATCTGAACTCTGAACCCTGTATCTGGTTTCAAATTGGTGTCTGGGCGTCGTGCTTCCGTGTGACTTAGTTGCTCTCCTTGTAAAGATCAGAGCAGAGAGAAGGGATGTGACACTTCGTGAGGCACAGCATTGCATCAGCAGATGTGCTGAGGGGCAGTGGCTTGGCAGTTGGGCACAAAATGGGCAACTCGTTTGCATTCTGATAGTGCTATGAAGAGCAGTTTCCATTTTAAGGTTATACTGAAAATAGTTTGAAGCTCCCCACCTCTGATGTACAGCTGGGCCATGGAAGCTAAGTGCAGGACACCTTCCAAAGCTCTGCCAGCTGGGGGAATCTAAACAAAACAGTGATGGAAAGGGCTTATCCCTGCTGTGTTTTAATCACTTCCCTTAAGAGATGCTTGTGCTCTGTTCTTTGTGCAAACACTTAAAGCTGTGTGCAGAAGGAAGGAAGAATAGGAGAGAGAAGGGGTCCTTAAAGGCAGGAAAGGTTTGGGTTGTTGTCACTTGCTAGTAAACAGGAACTGTGTTTTCTTCCTGATACAATTTAGGGACAGAGCTTCAATAAGGGAAGAACCTGTCGGAGCTTGGGAGCAGAGCTTGGGGTTTTACCAAAAACTTCCTGTGAGTGCAGGAGTATTTCGATCTCTGACTCCCTTGTGGCTCCTCGTTGGATGCGGAAGGAGCGTGCGAGAGTGCATGAGTGCTGTTCCAAAGAGACTTGCTTGTGTGTTGGGAGCCAACCGAGGCCTCGCCATGTCTCACCAGTGAGAGAGCGCCTCGTGGCCACTGGTGAATATCTCCTGTGTGCACACTTCTCTCTTTTGATGAAAAAATCAGCCTAGCCAGTCTCGATGTAAAACTGTGGTGGGTTGGCAGAGTGCTGCACCGGGGTACAAGGAGGAATGTGTTGGTCAGGCAGCTGAAGGTTGTGTCACAGTGTGCTTGTAAGGCCTGACAAGGAGGAGTGAGGAGGGAGCAAATGCAGTTTACACAGGAGAACTGAGTTGTGGCTTCACTTCTGGAGCCTTGAGGTTGCAGTCAGTTGTGTCTTCCCAGTGGTAGTAGATGGGTTTTTGGGAGTACGGTTTGATAAGAGGAGTGCCTCAAAGAGCACTTCTCTTACTAGTGTAATGATTTTAGCAGTCTGGGGAAGGGGGGAGAAGGTGTGACTCGGGGAGAGGAAGCAGGGAAACGTGGCAGGGTATGGTTTGTGTGCAGGAAGCATGGTGCTCCTTTGTGTAAGGGGAGCTCTTTATCTTTGGGTATCTTCCGTCTCTGAATCTCTTCCTGTCACTGCACGTGAGAGCTGCCAGTGTGTCCTGCACAAGTGCTTTTCTAGGCAGCTAGCAGGACGTGCTTGGAAGCAGCCAGCTCTGCCCATGCAGTGCAGCAGCCACGTCCAAGCTGCGGCTGCACGTGGCCCAGCTCCCCTCGCACTGCAGCCCACATCCCATGCTGCCACATCACGGCAGCAGCTGAGCCCCACGGAGCAACCCGGCCCCGGGGTGTGGGGAGCACGCAGGGCAGTGCTCACAAATAATATGGTGCTAAATGATGTATGGTGCTGTGCTTCGTTTGCTAGCAAACTGTCAGTCTTGAGAGATTACAGTTTGAAGAGACGTGTGCAGAAGCACTCGAGCAGTTTTCTTTAACTTTTGTCAGCATAACCAGTAGAACTACTGATGGTGCCCCGGTGATGGTTGGCTTATAAAAAAAGCCAGAAGTATATAGGGATGTATGGAATGAATAGAAGGTGATGCAGTTACTAAAGCGGGGGTGTATCTTAACACACTGGGCAGTTGTCAGTGGCATGAAATTCAACAGAGGAAATTAGGGTTCTGCACCTGGAGCAGAGCCATTGCAGGGGAGTTGGACTAGATGACCTTTAAGGGTCCTTTCCAACTGAAACGATTCTGCGAGTGGGATATATTAAAGAGGGTGTAACGTTTGTTAGGATAGATGCACAAAACCTGCCATGAACGGGGGCACCTACAAGTCGCACCGATGCTCCAGAGCCCCATCCAGCCCGACTGTTGACCTTGAATGTCTCCAAGGATGGAACATCCACCACATCTCTGGGCAGCCTGTACCAGTGCCTCTCCTCCCTTAATGGAAACAGCTTTTTCCATACGTCCAGTTTACAACAGATGATCTGTATGGGTCTGCGCCTGTGTCTGGCATTGCTTTGTTCCAGGTGCAGCAGCCAGCGTTTCCTTTGGAGTCAGTTTGCAGTTGGTGAAAGTTGTTTGAGTGAGGTAACTCAAAGGATTGCAAATGGATGGAGAATGCAGGTGAAGCGCGTAGGTTTTCAGGAGTGAAAGGCTGAGTTGTGACTGCAGAAAAGCAGCATTACGAGGTGGAAAGAAAGGTGCAGCAGAATGTTGGGGTAACTGGTATTTGACGGGTAGTTAGGACTCCACTGGGACTGCTCGCCTGGCAGGGAGAAGAGGGAATGTCTTGATCCTCTCCAGAGGAAGGCTTAAGGATGTAGTTTATCCAGAAGATATTCTAGTGTGGGAGCAGGGAGGCTTTGTGGCTGAAGATGCATTGAGCAAGGCTGGCAAAGCATCTGTAGTCTGTTAGGGGAGCATTAGATCTAAGGCTGGAGTTTGTGCTGATAGTGAGGGTTGCTGTGAGCCAGGTGCAAGACCTTGCACTTGGCTTTTTGTCAGCCTCTTGTGGTTCTCCTGGGCCAACTGCTCGGCCTGTTTGGGTTCCTCTGGATGGCATCCTGTCCCTTGGGCGTGTTGACTGCACAGCACAGCTTGGTGTCACTGCAAACTTGCTGAGGGTGCACTCAGTCTCACTGTTGATCTGATGGAAGAGAACTAGAATGTTAGCTGAAAACAAACAAAGGTGAGAAGTTTGCAGTCTGAGTGCAGTGATTGCCTTACAAAGGTGGGAGGTTTGCTCAATGGTCAGCTTCCTCGATCAGAATAATACAGATAGTAATGCTCTATTTTTTCTTCAGTGGTAACATAAAGTTTCTTTGTTACTGGAAATGATAGGCGAGAGCGACTGCATGTTGGTCATGAAATATTAGATGTAGACATCCCTGTATGGCCAACAAGCTTCACGAAGGAAGAGTTAAATGAGCTTCACAGCCCTTAAGAGAAAACAAATAGAAATGTAAGTTGGAGCAATTCACGTCCACTTTGAGCAGGTCAGGACATCCAACTATTGTTATTGTTTGACACTGCAATTAATAAGGCATGTTTTAATGCCGGATTTCAGTTATTGGTAAATCACTTGACCATCAACAAGAAAGAATGTTTCCAAATAACCAAACTCCAGTCAGTTTCTGTGCCATGTGCTGTCATTCCACGTTCTTGTCTTTGTGCAGGTTACGGCAGTGTGCGATGACTGCCAGAGAAGTGTCACCCAGCTGAACACAAGCAGGCATGCCAAACGAGTAGGGATGTGTGAGAACATCACGAGCGAAGCAAATGTTTGTGTTGCTACAGAGCAAGCCCTAAGTGTTGGTGAAACCCAGTTTTTGCTGCTGTGTACACACAACTGTTTGCTAATGGACCTCTGTAAGCAGGGGTTCTGCTAAATGCCTTCTGGGAGTAGATTGCTCATCCGTCTTTGGAATAATTTCATAGAATCACCAAAGTCGGAAAAGACCTCCAAGATCATCCAGTCCAACTGTCCACCTGCCAGCAATATTCCCACTAAACCACATGCCTTAGTACAACACCCAGATGTTTCTGCAACACCTCTGGGGATGGTGACTCCACCACCTCTCTGGGCAGCCTGTTCCAGAGCCTGACGGCTCTTCCAGACGAGAAATTCTTGCTAATATCCAACCTGAATCTCCCCGATACAGCGTGAGGCTGTTCCTCCTCATCCTATCTCTAGTCACATGGGAGAAGAGGCAGACCCCCAGCTTACCACAGCCTCCTTTCAGGGAGTTGTAGAGAGCAATGAGGTCTCTGCTGAGCCTTCTCTTCTCCAGACTGGCAATCCCAGTTCCCTCAGCTGCTCCTCTTAACACCTGTGCTCCAGACCCCTCACTGGCTTCGTTGCCTTTGTCTCCAGAGCCTCGATGTCTTTCTTGTGGTGAGGTTCCCAAAGCTGAATGCAGAGCTTGGCGCAGCCTCACCAGAGCTGTGTACAGGGGGACGATCACCTCTTGCTCCTGCTGGGAGTCTGCAGAAGTGTGTGCTGTAGTGTTTTTGTTGTTAGTTCTGTGGTGGGATGCACAGCGCTTTTGTGACTAGGACAGCGTGTACAAAGTGAAAAGGGATCGTTTAACAAAAGGCATCATGCTGTGTTTCTCTTGGACCCCATTTTCAGTCCTGCATCCAGGCCTGGGGCCCCCAGCACAAGAAGGATGCAGAGCTGTTGGAGTGGGTGCAGAGGAGGCCACAAAGATGCTCACAGAGCTGGAGCACCAGTTCTACGAAGACGGGCTGAGAGAGAGGTTGTTCAGCCTGGAGAAGAGAAGGCACCGGGGATGCCTTGTGTGGTCTTGCAGTGCTTAAAGGGAGCTTATGAGCTGGAGTGGGGGGCTGTATGGACCGTGGGACCCCAAACAGGTGATCTATCCAGCCAAAGTGTTGTATCATTATTTGAGCAAAGTCCATGTGTATAGCAGTTAGGAACAAGGTACAGGTCTGTTCCATTGCACTCT